TTGTATACATCCTGAGCCTGTGGAAGAGGAAAATTAACCAAGACAATATAAAATTCTAGTTGACAGATTTTTAAATTTCAACACATTAAAGATTGTATTTCAGGCTTTCATAGTATCTAATGAAAAATTCTGGGTTTTTTTTTTTTCTTTTCCATGTATAGGATTGAACCCAAAGCATTCACACATGTAAACAAATGCTGTACCACTGAGCTGCTCCCCCAAATCTAACATAGTAGGTGAAAGACCTTTATAACAAAATCTGTGGTATTCTGAAGAAAAAAATTGAAGAAGACATTAGAAAATGGAAAGACATCCCCTGTTCCTGGATAGGCAGAGTGAATGTCATCAAAATGGCCATATTACCAAAAAGTGATACATAGACTTAATGCAGTTTCTATCAAAATGTGAATAACATTCTTCACAGAATAGGAGGAAAGTTCTAAACTTTATAGAGAGCCAGAAGAGACCCAGAATAGCCAAAGTAATCCTGAGCAAAAAGAGCAAAGTGGGAGGCATTACAATCTGATTTGAAGTTACACTACAAAGCTATAGTAATATAAACCACATTGTGCTGGCATAAAAATAGACATGTAAAACAATGAAATAGAATAGAAGACACAGAAACAACCCCCATGCATCTTTAGTCATCTGATCTTTAACAAAGGAGCTAAAAACATACTTTGGAGAAAAGATAGCCTATGTACAGTGGTGCTGGGAAAATTGGTTATCCACGTGCAGAAGAATGAAAGTAGACCCATATCCCTCACCTTGCACTAAAATGAAATAAAAATGGATAAAAACTTAGATATAAAAACAACACGGAGTTGCCAAACAGGAAAACACTTAGATATAAGTAGGTCCTTTATGACTAGAACTCCAGTAACACAAGGAGTAATACCAAGAATCAGCAGATGGCATTATATTAAATTAAAAAGCTTCTGCACAACAAATGAAGCAATGAACAGAGTGAAGAGACAACCTAAAGAATGGCAGGGGTAGGGGACTGCCAGCTACTCATACAGAGGACTAATATCTGGCTTATATAAAGAGCTGAAAAAGTAGACCCCCTGAAAAACAAGTCAATCAGAAAATGAGTGAACAAAATGGATACACACTTCTCAAAAGAAGTAGTACAAATGGCAAACAAATACATGAAAAAATGTTCAGTATCTTTAGCTATTAGGAAAATACAAATCAAAGCATCTCTGAGATTGTCTTACTCCAGGCAGAATGACTGTCCTCAAGAACAGCAACAGCAACAACAAAACGCTGGCAAGGTTGTAGGGGGAAGCAACCCTTCTATGTTGTTGGGGGAATGCAAACTATTGCAGCCACTTTTGAAATCAGTATAGAATTCCTCAAAAACTACAAAGAGAAATTCCATTTGACCTAGCTTTATGATGTCTCTTTTCCCAAAAATTAGACATCACAATAGTGATACATGTTAGCACAGTTCACAATAGCTAAACTATGGACCTAGGTGCCTATCAACAGACAAGTGGATAAAGAAAATGTGGTTTATATGTACACAGTGGAGTGTTATTCAGTCATAAAGAAGGATGAATTGAAGTTATTTGGAGGAAAATGGATGGATCTTCAGACCATAATGATAAGTGAAATAAGTCAGACATACAAGGTTAAAAATCACAGGATTTCTCTGATATGAAAACTGAAAATATAAATAAAGAGTAAAATAAAGGAGAAGTAGTAGAAACAGAGAAGCAGACTTTTTGGAGCTGGGGAGGGGGAGAAAAGAGGGTAGGGTAGGGAGGAAAGGGGTGGGAAATGATTAATATGCTACATATGTGTGTGTGTATATATACATATATACACTAAATATGTATACTATTTATTGTGTATTACACAATAAATATACACTAAATATGTATACTAATTATTGTGTATTACAAACCTACACCAATAAAAATTTAATTTTAAATTTTATTTTAATTGGAATTTTATTTTTACATTTTTAAAAATTTCTTGGTGAGACCTTTGCTCAAGTTTCCCAGGCTGACCTTAAACTTGTGATGGCCCCCACCTTAGCCTCCCCAGTAGCTGGGATTCCTGGCAAGAATTTTTGTCTCCCCCTTACCCATGCATATTATATCATTTTTCAAACTGCTTTTAAGATTTTTTTTTTCCCTTCTTAATGTTTTTCAGCCTTTCCTGTTTTTTAAATAGGGTCTTACTATGTAGCCCAGGCTGGCTTTGAACTTGAGATCATGCTTCAGTCCTCTGAGTACTAGAATTACAGGCATCTGTCACCATAACCAGCATTGAGAATTTGATAATGGTGTGCCTAGGTGTAATTTTCTTGTATATATTCTGCTTGGAACTTTTCGAGATTTGTTAAATCTGTTAGTGTTTTTCATTAAAATGTAGAACATTTTTAGCTGTTATCTTTCAATAATTTTTCTGTCCTACCTTCCTTTCCTCTCCTTCTGAGATACCAATTAAGTATTAGGCCACACATTACCAAGACTTACCACGGTTGGTTGCTTGTTTATGTGTTTGAATAGACCATCTTTTAGAACCATTCTAGGCTTATAGGAAGTTGAGCAGGTAGTACCATCACAGTTGCCCATATTATTAGTATCTTTCTTTAGTGTGGTATCTCCGTGACATTTCTCTTGTTGCTAGGACAAAATACCTGATGCCCAATATTAAGGAAGGAAAGGTTTATTTTGCTCAGTTTGTGCAGGTTTCAGTCCTTACTCGGGTTACTCCAAGGCAGAGTGGCATATGGTAGAGGGCAACTGTTCATGGTAGCAGAAAACAGCAAAGGCAGCAAGAGCAAGAGGGAGGAGCAGGCAGGAAGAGCAAGCTTCTTTCCCTTCTTTATGTTGCATGCAAACTACCCACTCCAGGGCAGGTATGGCAACCACACCTGTAACCCCAGCATTGGACCATGAATCAATCAAAAACTCTAGAAGCCCACCCCATGACTGCATGAGGCTTTGGGGGGACATCCAGACACAAACCATAAGATGTAGTAATAAATAGTACTTCAAAACAGTGTATAGAAAAGCATATATATATATATATGAGTTGCCTTTTTTCCGTGTACTCTTTCTGCTTTATTCTTTGATAGCTGATTTTCTGTGTTAGAGTTAGAAAGAAGTTAAGTCAATAAGTAGGTTTGGTTACCTTGTGACTAGCCCGTTATTTCATGTTGATGTTGCTAAGACGTGTCCCTTAGTAGAACGTTATCTAAGATGGAAAAATGGAGTTTATTCCATTGACTCTAATATAGCACATCTGGGGGAGGGGGGATACATTTTATTTGCTCCTTAAAAATATCATGCTTGTTTTTTGCTTGTAAGCACCTGAAAAGTATGTTTCTTACAACAGATTATTTTTTTTTAATTCTCAGAAACTGTTTGGTTTGTAAGCACCTAAAATTAGGAAGTTTAGTTGAAATATATACAGTGAATGTCTAAATATAAAATTAAATATATAGTAAATGTTTAAGAAATAGTATTACAGTAAAAGACATATCTCCATTAAATCCTGCCAAAATACTCCCCCCACTTCGAACACTTATCCCATTGTTCTTGCCACTTTCTGATGCAGTTCTGGAAGTCCTCTTTCATGAGCATCTTTAGGAGATATGATTTTTGTTCAGAGCAGTGAATGCTGCTGAGTGCTATCCAGTGGAAAGACAGAGTCATTAAACAAAGCTGCAGTCTGTTTTCATTAACCTTATTCACTGGATCTGGCACCATGCAACTTCTGGCTCTTCCCCAAACAAAATGGCCATGAAAGGTAAACATTTTGAATCAGTTCAGAACATTGAGGGAGCCATAACAGCATAAGTAAAGACACAAAAGAGGGCTTCCAGAACTACTTTGGAAAGTGGACAAGAATGGTGAGATGTATTTGAAGCAAGGAGATGGTGTTTTGAGGGAACTTACTGGCAGTGTGTTATTTACTGTAATAACTTTTAAAATCTAGCCGCGTGTGGTGGCTCATGCCTGTAATCTCAGCGCTCGGGAGGCTGAGGCAGGTGGATCATTGAGAGTTCGAGACCAGCGTGCACTGCAAAATGAGTTCAAGGCCAGCCTGAAATGCATAATGAGACCCTGTCTCAAAAAGACAAAAATAATAATAATAAATAAAATTGAAACATTCACCATCCTTCTCAGTCCCTCCTCATATGCACATTCTTATAGCACATCTCTGTTGTGCTCTGCTTTCACAGAAGTTGTATTTTTCCTGATCCATTGGCATCCTTTGCCTAATTCAGGTTTTGTTATCTTTTCCAGGCCCAGCTTCAAAGGGAAAAGGAACAAGATCAGATGAGGCTGCATGCAAAACTTGAAAAGCTGGATGTCTTAGAAAAAGAATGTTTTAGATTGACAACCACTCAGAAGACTGCTGAGGTAAGCTTCTGCTGTTTCTTTGAAGTGATGATCACAGGAATAAATCTTTAGTGGTAAATTGGCCTTGTATATGAGTATGCAGCAGATCTTAGATTTATAAAATTTCATTTCTAATGCTTAGTAATTCAGCTATAATTTATTAGAGACTGAGTAAATGTGTTCTATCATGTCGTGAATGAGTTTGTCTGTTGATGTCAAATTGTAATTTTGGCTCCTTCTAAAACATCAAGATATTTTAATTTGTCAGGTGATTTACCTAAAGGATATTGAAAAGATTATTTTTTACTACCTATGGTGAAGTTAAGCCTATCCTAGATCCCCTCCTCTCCACTATCTTCCCCCTAAATCTTTTCCATTGCATAGGATTTTCTGTTTTTGAAGCCTTCCTTCAGTTACCCCACACTCTAGAAGTTCTCCCTTTAAAATGTTACTATCACCCTATTCTGAACCACATCATAGGTATAAGGTGTAATACGCATGTAAGGTTATATAGTGTATACGTGGCCCATGTTAAGTCGTAGTCATTGGTTTGTTTTATGTATGTGACTCACTTCTCTAAGTACAATACCGTATAAGCTCTCAAGTGAGAAGGACCATTATGAATTCCTTCCCCCAGCAGCTGTGCTCTTACTTTAAGCACATGGTAGGCATTTATTGTTATTTTTCTGTTTCTGGAACATTGAGACCCAAGACTATAATTATTTGACCTTCTAGACCTTTTATACCCTCAAAAATGTTATCATTATGGTTTTGTTGATAGAAGTTATTAAAGTCAATGTGTGTACATTCTTTGCTTTTCTTTTGTTCTCCTTATGTATAATAGCAGGTAAGGAAGCATAGGAAGAAAAAACCAAGAGAAATCTTGACATTTTTTACCATTCCTTTTACTTACTTTCAGTTGTAATCTGCCAGCTCTTCAAAATCAAGACCCTTGGGGCCAGGGATATAGCTCAGTGGTTTAAGCACCTGCCTGGCAAACACAAAGTCCAGAGTTTGATTCCTGGTACCAAAAACAAAAATAAATCAAGACACTTGCCAGGCATGGTGGTGCACCCCAGTAATCCCAGCACTCAGAAAGCTGAGGCAGGAGGATTACTGCAAGTTTGAAGCCATCCTGGGCTACAAAGTGAGTTCAAGGTCAGCCTGAACTAAAAAAATCAAGACCATGGGCCAGGGATATAGCTCAGTGACACAACACCTGCCTAGCAAGTTCAAGGTCCTGAGTTTGATTCTTGATAACCTCCCCGCCAAATCAAGACTCTTAGAACTCTGTTTGGAAAAGTAAACAAAGGATATTTGTCTCTCGTTTTTCTATAAATCCTAAAAATCCTAGTTTTTTATTCTCTTGCAGGACAAGATTAAACATCTAGAGGAAAAACTTAAGGAAGAAGAACATCAGCGTAAGCTATTTCAAGACAAAGCTGCTGAGGTAAATAATATTAATCTATTACATTTGTTTTATTTTATTTATTTACTTGTATTTTTTTTTTCTTTGTACTGGGAATCAAACTCATGACCTCACACTTACCAGGTAGGTGCTGTGCCACTGAGCTATATCCCTGGCCCTATTCTATATTTTTATTAATGGAACCCTATATCCTAGACTGTAATTTCTCCTTCCTAGAGTGTTACTTTGTCTCTTTTTGTTGTAATAATGAAATTCTCACCCAGTATATTCATACACTTGGACGCATTGCCAGGAAGTCTCTGATTTTTAGAATTCTAGCAGATGCATGTATTTTCAGTTTAAGTAACTCCTACAATAGATTATTTTCAGTTTGCTGTATATATGCATATACACTGCATGTATAAATAAATAATCCTCTTATAAAGAGAAAATAATTATAATTACCTATAGACTTACTGACTTTGATACACATAGAAAATAATACTTCAGGTTTTCTTTTCTTCCTCAAGAAATGTTTGTGTTTTGTTTTATTTTTTGAGATGATGAGGTCTTGTGCTATGTTGCCCATTTGGCCCTGAACTGGCTTCAAGCAGCCCTGCTGCCTCAGTTCCTGAGTAGCCACAGGCTTGTGCCACAGTACCCATCGCTCACAAGAGCATTTTTATGCTTATAAACTGAGACTGATTTTCATTACATTTGAAGGAGCTTAATGCAAATCAATTTTATGACTTGTTTCTTTGATATTATAGCTTCAGACTGGACTTGAAATCAGTAAAATTTTAATGTCTTCAGTTTCAAATTCAAAACGCTCCAAGGAAAAGAAAAAATCTTCAAAGGTATGCATATAAAACTTTTTCCCAAACAACTTTCTTATTTTCTAAGTCATTTTTCACCCTTTAAATCTTTATATCTACCTCTACCCAGAAAGTATTTCAAGAATTTATAATAAAAGATATGCAATAATGCCATGAAATTAATCAAATGATGATGGTTTTAGGTATAGGAACAGAAAATTATATAAAGGCTGGGTTAAAGAAAGTAGCATCAATCATATAAGAAACTTAACTCTAAGTTTACTTGATAACCGAAGCAAAAAGGAGCATTTAATGGGTGTGATAGCTGTCTTTGTGAAATAAGCAACTATTTCAGTTTTTCTAGTCTTAAACTATTTGGTCACACTTTTTTTGAAGAGGCATTAAACAGAACAGATGCTAACAAAGCAATAAATCTTAAAAATTTCATATATGTGCATAATAAAAATGATTTTTATACTTAATTTATAAGTGTGTGAAATAATTTATATAGGAAATTTATTGTTTTATGTTCGTATCCTTTGAATTTGCCTAATAATAAAGATGGAGGAGTTAGTACTTTATAGATTGATCAATATCTTAATTATATCAGTTGACATTTTAGATCGTTGTATTATAGTTATAATGGTAAGAAAAATATATACTCTCTTAATGTTATGATTTTTCAAATTGTATTTTTGCTTACTATTCAGTTTTGAGAGTTATTCATATTGTAAATATATTTTAAAATGTTTACTTTTCCCCTTGTCAATATTTAGAAAACTAAATGTTTAAAAAGAGGACCACCTCTACAAATTTATTCAAAGTTTAGAGCACCACTTTTTGAGGCTAAAAAGGTGAGAGCAAAATAATGGAGATAGTTCACAAGCCTCCTGTTGTCTTTGTAAGTGCTGTTTAAAACCATCATTTAAATTGTCGTCAGCTGTTTTTTTCTCCCTTAAGTCTGCCAGTGCAGGCTGTTCTGTGAATGCAGGTAGGCAAAACCTTCAGCAGACGACGCATCACTGTGGCCCACAGATCCTTCCGAAACGTGCCCAAGTGATTGAGCCTAGATGTCTCTGTAAGCCTCCGAGAGCAATTTCCCAGTATAAAGCTGTACCTCGTGAATCAGAAAAGTCTATTTCCATTTGTGACAGTTTGTCTGAGCTTTTGATGGCAATGCAAGATGAGCTAGACCAAATGAGCATGTAAGTATTTTTATTCTGTATTAATAGAAGTAACAAGATTTTTAGGGGGCTGGGGATTTACCTCAGCGGCACAGCGCCTGCCTCGCAAATGCGAGGTCATGAATTCGATTCCCGGTACCGGAAAAGAAAAACCAAAAAAAAAAAAAAGAAAAAAGATTTTTAGATTTTTTTTTTCCTTTCATTCCCCAGAAAAACGCCACTTATAAATTTTTAAAGTCCTTCCTTAACTATTGAACTTTCTACCACTGAACTACATCCCCATTTCTTTTTTATTTTAAGACAGGGTCTTACTAAATTTCCCAGGCTAGCCTTAGTCTTGATCTGTGTACCTCAGCCTCTCAAGTAGCTAGGAGTTTAGTCAGGTACGACCACGCCTAGCAGGACTTACATTATTTTGATCTACAGATTTATTGTCACTGTTTTTCACTGTATTCATTGTACTCTTACATGTTTAACTGTGTAATTACTACTTCTCCAACCTAAGGAGTTTCTATATTTCCAAGATCTGGACTAATAGACATGTTACCGTCAATCTACTATATAAAGTCTAGTAACCTTAGATTATAATTTACAGAAGCTTTTGTAAGAAGATTCTTTAGTTTCTTAGAGTCGTTTAGTTGAATTATTTCATTAGAAAAGTAGGACTATAATTCCTTCTTTTAGACTCTAGCTGATCTGCATTACAAATTTTGAGGCATCCATAGAAGATTCTGTATGAGACACATTATATTTTACCCCATGTTTAAGTATATATTCAACAGGAATTCCAGAACTACGTGATTTGGCTGGCCAGCTGCTTGAAGTTAAACCTCTATAAAAGATATAAACTAATTTTATTTACAGTATTTCAAATTCTAGAGTTTGAATTGAAGAGGACTTTTTAATTCCTCTGGGCAAAGGCATCAGAAAATTTTAGTACATTTAGCTGTGAACATCAGGAATTCAGATTTTTAAAGGATGTTTAGCAGCCTAAGCTGTTTCTAAATGTATCTAAATATTTCTAAATGTACAAATCATATGAACTATAATTGTCCTTGGTATTCGGTTTTTCTTTGATAGGGAGCATGCAGAACTGCTGAAACAAATGAAGGAAACTGAAACCCATTCCATGTGTGACGACGTGGAATGTGAGCTAGAGCGTTTAGTCAAGAAGATGGAAATTAAAGGAAAGCAGATTTCCAGACTGAAGAAGCATCAGGACAGTGTAAGAAAGTTTCAATAAAAGTTTTTAATAAACAGATAATATATCTGGATTCAGTGTTACTTCTTCATATGACCTTCCCGATTTGAGGTCTCTCTATGTGGGTTAGTAAAAAGATTGGAGTCATTCAACCACTCGTCATAGAGCCATCTGCCCTATCCAAATGACCTGGCCTCCTAGCTAACTCTCCAAGACAATATAAAGAAAAAGGAGCAAAAAACTTTTAGCTGTGTATTTAGGCTTTGGAAAAATTGTAAGAAAGGCCTTTGTACTCTTCCAGTTACCCTTTCAGCTGTTCTTTTCCTTCATCATCTTTCCTTTAATGTTTTCATGATGTCCCATGAGCCCAACTTTCTAAGACAGTACCATACATAAAAATGGCTTTTTAAGCAGTACCCCAATTCTAAAACCATGGTTTCCTCTTTCCCAAAACAGTCTGGGCCATGTTCCATTTCCTGGGGGGCCTATGCTCAGCTATGGTATCTACAGTTAGGACATAGGTATGGAGGACTGTGTACTTATGTCTTAATAACTAAAAATGGCATAACTTTTAACTAAAGAATCACAAATATATTATTTCTCAAGATAGTGACTCTATAGTTTACCTTTCAGCACTATTGCACTGCTAGGGCAGAAGGCAGAGGGAGCTTTTCCTTAAACTTCGAATAATCATCATTCATGTAAGTTGGTAATATATTAATCTTCACACAAACCCCCCCACTTTTATAAGAAAGTAATAGAGATGTAGAATGTTACTGCCTTTATTCTGCTTATGACCAAGAAAGAAAGAAATGAAACTTTTGAAGCAAATACTTTCATTTTATTGGCTTTTTAGGCTAGAGTAAGTAAAAATGTTCATATGTTGTTTGGGGTGAAGATTATAAAACGTGATATACTTTGTACACTTCCATAGAATTGAATAGGAGAAACTTGAACAGGAGAATAACCATGTTTTTAAAATTTAGGCAACCTGTATATTTTTTATTTTGAAAATTATGATTTATATTCCATAGTGGGTATAACAATGTAAAATTTTAAGCATTTTTATCGTAACAAATCAAACTTGTAATGAAAATTTCCTCCTAGGCACACAGACAACCAGGTACTCACCCAGTATCTGCATTAGCTCTACAAGTCAGACCTTTCCATAAGTGAGATAATAAATAATGGGTCAGACTTTGAAGAAATGTGTTTGGATTTGTTGATAGGATTGTTTTAGCTAATTCTGGTCTATTCTGTTATTAGCAGACACCCCTCAAGAAAGTAAAATTATTCTTTGGACTTTTGTCTTGGTTACTTTTTCTCCTTGCTGGGACAAAATACCTGATGCCCAAAATTAAGGAAGGAAAGGTTTATTTCACTTACAGTTTGTGGAGGTTTCAGTCCATACTTGGCAGGTTACAAGGCAGAGTGGCATATGGCAGAGGGCTACAGCTCATGGCGGCAGAACACAGCAAAAGCAACAAACACAAAAGCAGGAATGGCCTCAAGCACCCTTTTCCTCTCCCTTACATATGCAAACTGTCCACCCCAGGGTGGGTGTAGCTCTCACACCCGTAATCAATCAAACCCTAAAAGCCTGCCCTATGACCGCATGAGGCTTTGGGGGGGCACCCAGACACAAACCGTAACAACTTTCTTTCTGACACTCACTAGGATTTTAAATTCAAGATACTTCTAAGATTGTACGTGTACTTTATAAACAGGGCTCATTCCTAGCACCAGTTCTTCACTTTGCTGTTAATATCACCTGAAAAGCTCTCTCTTCTTCACTCTCTGCTTTTCATCAGTTTCATATCTTTGTACCGTCTTTTCTACTTCTCCAGCCTACAGTGATCTTGTTCTGCTTTAGCCTGCTCAAATACACACTTTTTCCTACTCCACGTTACCTCTGCTTGAAATAGTCCCAAGTTAGCATATGTGCTCTTTTTTCACTAATCAGAGCAGTGGGCTCCTAGAAAGCAAGGACTGTTTCATTCATTGTATCCCTACATGACTAGCGTGGTGTTTGGCTTATAGGAAGTGTTTTATAACTAAAAAACATACTAAACTGAACTTTTTAATTTAATGTGAGGTTTAGGCCATCAGTTCAGTTCATCTAGAGGCTGGGGATATAAGTTCAGTGGCACAGGTGCCTTCTTGGCAAGCACAAAGTCCTGAGTTCGAGTCCTGATACCCCCCCACAAAAAAACATTTCAATTCATCTATATTTTTAGTATCTTTTTGACTAAAATGTTAGATTTTTTTTCTCTCTTTCTCAGGTCTATAAACTACAACAAAAAGTTCAAAACTCGAAGGCAAGTAAAGCTTCAGGTATTCAGCAAGATGGTAACCAAGAATTGAAGAACATGAAAAATAGCCCCAGGAAGTGTTTAAATGAAGCTAACTCTTCTCAGAAAAGCAGCAACTTTCATCCAATGCAAGTTCATAATATTCGAATGAAATTGAGAAGAGATGATATCATGTGGGAACAGTAATACAATACCAAAACTGTCCACTTAAATGAACTTTGTCAGCAAGAACTTGAATTGTTAAAATGGTTTTAATCTAATATATGTTTGTAAAATTTCAAATTATGTTTCTGGCCTCTATAAAACATGACATTGTACATTTTTAAATTAATGCTTAGTGACCAACTAAGAATCTCAAATAATATACTTTTTTCTCACTGTCCAAAGTCCCTAAACTCATCATGTTTTAGAAACATTATTCACTCTGTAAGTATCTTAAGCTAAATATAGGAAATTTGACTAAATTGCTCAGTATTCAAAATTGAGTTAAATCTGAGATATCAATACCATTCCACTTTTTCATTTAGTAGACTTGTAACCTTAAGAACCAACACTAAGTGAACACAGTACAGAAAGGTCTTTAACTTTCCTAGTGCTGCCTCCCTGTCTTGTTTAAAAGCTTTGAAATTTTTATTTTTGTGGAAGATAAAAGCTTAATAGTTCTGCAGTTTTGTGAAAATGTCTTTAACGCTGGTTTTATGTGACAGTTACAATTAGGAATTCATAGTTCCCTAATATGTACAAGATAATAATTCACTGACAGAATACTATTCTTAGTCTCTTTTACAAATCTAGTTTTTTGAATACCAGTGATCTGGTTTGCCTTCTTTACAACTTTTGCTGACTTTTATTCTTTGCATTATATATTATGTCCATCAATATAACTTGAGAATGTGAGTTTCTACCACCCAAAAAAGTGGTATATTTTTATAAGAAAGTATCGAAAGAGTTAGGCATTTAATTACCTTATCCAGCAAAGAAAATCAGGGTGATGTGGCATATCTTTATTTTTATATTTTAAAATTAGTGATATAATAATCACATTCTTTATGTAAACATGATTTATAATAAATTGATGCTTGGCTTTTTAGAAGCCTATGAAAACTACTACTATTCTTTTGAACTCTTGGATTCATGCTCAAATCCTCCAATACAACTAGATGACTCGAGTAATCAACTGAAGTAGAAAGAGAGGGCAGATAGAAAAGCTCTAAGAAAAGCTCAGAATATAGGGTAGCAGTTCAAGAAATGATGATTCCAAAGGGACAGAGTTGGAGGTATATATTTACCAGACTCTCTGAATTCACTGCAGTAGGAGTGTTCAGTCTTTGGGTATGAAAAAACTCGCAGCCAGGCATGGTGGTGCATGCCTGTAATGCTAGCACTCAGAAGGCTGAGGCAAGAGGATCACTGCAAGTTTGAGGCCAGCCTGGGCTACAAAGTGAGTTCAAGGACAGCCTGAACCACATAGTGAAATCCTGTCTCAAAAAGACAAAAAGAGAGGGGCTGGGGATTTAGCTCAGCGGCACAGTACCTGCCTGGCAAGCACAAGGTCGTGAGTTCGATTCCCGGTACCAGGGGGTGGGGTGGGGGATAAATAAATAAATAAATAAATAAATAAAAGACAAAAAGAGAAAAAGAAAAATTTCAGGCCAGGGACCTGGAGAGTGAAAAAAAAAAATTGTTTCTGTTTTCCTAGAAAATTCCCAAAAAGTGTGTGTAGAAAAGTGGGTAATTATGAGCCTTCTAGGGAGCAGGAGGACTGTGACTCGTGCTAATGGTGAGAAGCAGTGCCGTGGGATAGGTGTTTCCATACCTGAAAATGAGGGGCTGACTGAACACGGGCAGACTGGTACTTTGAGTGGAACTTGAAAGTAATTAATGGCAGAGCTCAGAGTTTCCTCCTTCTGGCTTGAATGAGGTGTGTGAAATGTGTCCTTCTCTTGCTTTTCCTGTGCCTTCCCTACCAGCTCCTTGGCCTTGGGAGGTGTTCCCCAGGATGTACCTAAACTCAGTGTTCACACCACACCTGTTTTTCTACTTTACCTCTCCTCCTCAAAGATGCAAGTTCTGTGGTTTAAACTTAGCAAAAACCAAAAAAGAAACTAAAAACAGTACATTTACGGATACTATAATGCAACCCTTTACTCCTATCCCTTTGTTTTCTATGCATTTAGGAGGGTGGAGATTTCATATATATATCTATATATCTATATCTATATCTATATATGTTCTCATAAAACTAGTATGGTAGAAAAAAACAGATTTTTTTAGTTGAGAGACTTGGATTCAAATTCTGACTTCATTTTTTATTAGCTTACATAATCAGATACCTTTGGCTCTTCAGTCTCCTCTGTAAAGTAGGGGTTACACGAATCCTACCCACAGGGCTGTTGAGAGGACTAACTGAAATAATGTGAAAGAATCCCACAGAAGGCTTAACATTTAATTAAGAAAATAAATGTGGTTTTGAATCTTGAGTGGCCCAAATAATTATTGTAGAACGCAAGTTTATATGGGTTAAAGTCTGAAAGCAAAAGCATAAATAAATTTTCTTAATAAAAATGGAAATGTTTTAATTTTCTTTTTTCCCCCTCTGTGCCTGAAGGAAAATCAGTTTGACTGCTTTCCTATTCCGGGCTCCTACAGGGCTGGAGTGAAGAATGCAGACCTACCATGGTGCAGAAATACATAATCACACACAGCAACATGGTTTGGAGTTTGTTTTGGTTGTTGAGGTGACACTGGCTCCTGGGAGACAGGAAAGAGTGATGCTTCATCGCTGCCAAACTAAAAACACAACCCACCTGCCAGGGCCGATGACTCTTTGGTGGTGGGTCCAAAGCTCTCTTTCCTGGATGGGGCATTCTGTGGTTAGTGTACAGTGGTTGCTGTAGCAACCCCATTGTTGTACTCTGCCTAACAGAAAGGTGGTATGATTTCATTGATTTCGTTCACTAAAGGGAAAAGCAGAGTTACTTGGGTTTTGTTTAAAGAGGAATTTTAAAACTGGAACTGAAATTTTCTACCAAAGCAAGTCTCAACTTGGATGAAACTATGAAACCAGACAGTTCTAGCATTTGAAGCAGCAGGTACTGTGAACATTCTGATCCTGGTAATGAGAGCTGGAATCTTGAATTAACTGGTTGGATGGTTCATTGGCAACCCAGTAGTTTTTACTGTGTTGTGGCTTAAAGGCTAGGAGCGTTGGAGGGACATGCTCAGTTTTCTATATGTAAGGGTAAAGTGGGAGATACTTAATATAGTACACTAACTGGCTAAGGTGATATACTTGAAAAATTCCTTTTTGAGATTCTGGCTGGACATGGTCATGCACGTCTGTAATTCCAGCACACAGGAGGCTGAGGCAGGAGGATCGTTTGCAGGTTCGGGGCCAGCCTGGGCTACAAAGTGAGCTCAAGGCCAGCCTGAACTGCATAGTGAGACCCTGTCTCAAAAAGACCAAAAAAAAAAAAAAAAAAAGAGAGATTCTGCAGCTTTCTTTAAAAGTATAATTTCTCCTGTGGGAGAACTGTAGAATTGTAGGATTCTAGAGGTAGAAGGGGTTTATTAATTCTTGAACATGAATCTAACCTCCATGTCCTGTAGAACTCCTTTATACAACATCTTTGGTAAGCAGTCATCTATTCTGTGCACTATTTGTATTTCAGCAAATATTCCACTTAGAGTCTTTAAAATGGTTTTGTAAACTAAAATAGAATCAGTTGCCATTCTTTTCATATTTTTTATAATGCAAATATAAATTTCACTTTGAACTGCTGCTTAGCTTGAACCTTCTAAGTTATAGAAGGTTCTAAAAAAATAAATGTGTACTAAGTTGTTATTCTTAATCCATGATTAAGAATCAAAAAATAAATAAAATTTTGATTCATTGATGATGCAAGAAATCAGTCTAAAGAGGGAAGGCTGATTTGTCCTACACAATGGAAGGTGAGTGTAAGAACCAAAATGGTGGCCAAAAATGCACCAGCTGCCATTATTGGTGTAGAGCAAATCATGAGACCCCTAGCGGGGCTTCCTGGAACTCCAGCTAAGCAGCTGCACTGAGAACCTCTAACCATATGTGAAGTTTAGATAAGCACAGGCTGACTCCCAGACAGAAGACAAACCTCTGTAAGACATAATGGCAATTGTGATATTTAAAAAAAAAACAAAACTTTATAGGTGCCTGTCTACTTTTAATTCAAGTGAGGTGAGGGTAAATAAATAATAATCACTGTCATTCATCTGAAGATCAAGTTACTTCTTAACAAATAGACCTTGTCAGTCCCTCAGCCATTTTTGTCATATCCTGTGTACTTATTTCAGTGGAACTTCTGATTTGGGTGCTGTCTGTATATTTTATCACTTAAGGAAAATTAGAATGATTACAAAGTTAAAACTTTAAAATTATGTCTGGGCCAGAGTTTGTTTTCATTATAACTGTAGCTTGGGTACTTACAGAATTAGGTGGATT